CTTGAGTATACTATTAATGTTAAAACGAATTGTTGGACATAATATATAATTATCCGAGTGATGCCCAGAGGTGGATGTCAAACCTCCTGTGTTTTCTAGTTCAATATCGATGACGTAATATTTATATTATTGAATTCCTTGAAAAGGACCACAATCCGCATCTGCCAGCCTAAAGTCGTTTACACTGATGAAAAAATATCTTGATCCAAAAAAATATATTACTTTACTCGAGAAAATTATTCATTAGGTGGCTCCTAATAGCTTATTAACTTAAATTTAAAAAATAATAAACAAATTAAAACATGCATTTCTTTAATTTCAGCATTTATTAAATATCAAACAGCAGATAATTTTAAATTTGAAAAATTGTACTTTAATTCTATAAAATGTTTACAAAATATAAGTTTTACAACGAAGAAAGTTGGATTTCTTGACAAAAACAATTATTTCATTTAATAAATAGTACTCTCTATGTCATGAAATTTTTAGTTGAATGTAGAAAATGTAATGATTTAAATTAATTTATATTTACTTAAAATTTGATATTTTTATTTAAATAGAATAAATATTTACTTCAGTAAAAAAAATAATTATAAGTAAATCTATTCACTTCGTTTAAAAATATTTTTTGTTAGTGTAACAATTCTTTTTATCTTTAATTAACTACTGGCGATTCACATTCTTTCGATACTATTAGTGTGTTTTCAACCCATCATAGAGCCGTTTTAGCGACTTAAGACAACACTTAAGAGTATTTTGAAATAAGAATCGACTATGAATACCCGGCTTATGTCCATGATTCGTCGCGTATTATAGACAGGGACTCTAACGATCATGACAGCGTGAAAAACTCGGGCCCGGGCGGTCCTCGTAGCAACGAGAGCAACGTCGTGAATTCAAGCTGCGCGCGCCGGCGGTACTTTTTCGAAATTGTATCGTGTTACGAAGGGAAGATAAATATATCTGTATGCATGTGTGTTGTTTTCGGTACTTTGTATCAATCCTGACCTCTTCTAATTTCCCGCGAGCCTTTCGTAATCCCCCTAATACGAGCCTTCTTTCATCGTGACCCATTCTAGTCCTGGTTTTCTACCCGAGTATCGATAGTTTCGCTTGGATACCTGAGATACTGTAACTATACGATCATCTATCTTAGGCGGAATGTGCAGCCCCGGGGACTAGCTAGCTACTGATGCGCTAATACATAAATCAGAGACGGATTTTCCATTAGATACGACAGGGAGCATTAGAGGCACGTTGTATAGATGACGAGATCCCCAAATCGCCCTGAAAGCCTCGCAATACTCTACAATCTGCCATTGCAATAAAATATTTGTGTGCATGTATGCTTTTTAATTTTATAAATTTTATATCGATTTCGGAGTTACGAGCGCCTTCTCGTTTCTACGTAAATCGATATGTGACTGCAGCTCTTATACGTAGCTTATTTAGCGCAATTGGTTACATGATTGCAGCTGATCTCTAACTTAAAAATTTCAAATTCTTGCCTTCTATCCGCACTCGATTATCATCGACGGTTTAATCGTGTTTGCGGTTATAAGCTGTAATAAATGGCAAGTGAACGTTTATCAGGTGACTGTCAGTTTCACATGTTTTCTTTAATGCATGAAGTCACATACAAGAGATCGCATCGCACATGTGAAAGTGACAATCGTGGGTGTGGCGAATACGAGACAGCGGTGGAACGGAGAAACGTGAAAGGATGACGCAAATATAGTGTGTCCATCATAATTCGAGCGATCGAACATGGAGACACAGCTAGTTTTTTTCCTCTATAAAACGATAAACTTGAACGCATTGCGCAACTTACGTATGGACCGAGGATCGAGCTGGAGATTTCTCAAACTTTGATACATACCTGAAACAGAAATAAAATTTGGTTAGCTCATAACGTGCGCGCTTTTCAATATTATTAATTCGCGACAAAAAGGTTAAAGACAATTTCTGCGTTGATTAAATGCGTTTCTCAACGCTTTTAGGTAATGCTTCGTCGATCAGAGATAAGCCAAGATTCTCGGAAAGAAAATTTACTTACGTTTAAACAACTCGCGATTGATACGCGTGTTAACTTAAAAAAAGGGGCGAGAATCCCGATCGTGAAAGATACAGTCAGTAAAGCAGTGAATCAAGTAGAGGAAAGCCCCCTATTATGACATAGAATCCTAATATGGGATAGCGGGGTCATCATCAGCTGATTCCACCATGAATTTATTATCCTTGGAGCGAAATCTGTTTAGTGAAAAATAGATTGTTCGATCGTGTAATCGATTTGTGATTCGATTTGGGTGTTGAAAACCTGCTATCTCACATTAGAAGCCTATCTCGTAACAGAGAACTTTCCTCTACATATTTTTTATGGCAGCGCGACTGCCGACAGATAAAGCAGATTTATCTCGCGTGTGGCGTGAGATCGCAACACATTGCGGACCGAGCTGTCTTTCCGAAGACTGTCACAAATTTAGACGGATGTTCGGAGACGGTGGGCGGACGTGGCGAGGTGCGAACATTCGGACTGGAAGACGGCGGATGCGGTATGACGCTCGACCACCACGTGGTATTTCCGAGGCGTCTAGACTCGCTAATTTAAACCGACTCGCGAATCTCCACCGACGTTTCGGTCCAGTCTCGCCGCTGTCACAACTAAGCCCTAAAATATGAGAAACATTTACGCGGCGAACGGACCGAGCGTCGTTCCTGAAGGTCGCCCGTTAGAAAGTCCGCCTGCCATGGCACACGAACGCGCGCCGATAATCAATAGCTGGAAATATAATCTTTGCATAACTTGCACTCGACCTATGAATTTCTATAACTTTATTGCATCGCGAGCTATCGGATTATTATCTCGGAATTTTAAACGCGCGGAGCGTTACGCTGCACCGACAACATAAGCAACATTGAAACATCCTTTCCGGGAAATCGCCGTGTTTCTGCCATTAATTATTTCCTAATAGAACATGGCGCTTTTTAATCAATGCAAAACGCGAGCGGCAAGTACGCACTCTTATAAATAATCACAAAGCTCGAGGGGAGTAAAAATTCACGGATTTGCATATAAATGTGATATTGGATTAGTTAGTTCCTGGTCTCATCTCATATCCGTAATGCGTCTCGCGTAGCTGCGAGGAACGTAAGCCTAATACAGGTTTAATCCACGTACGTCACTAACGGTATATATAA